GGATGAGCAGGAATTGGAGATGGGATGAGCAGGAATTGGAGATGGGATGAGCAGGAATTGGGAGATGGGATGAGCAGGAATTGGGGGATGGGATGAGCAGGGATTGGGGGGTGGGATGAGCAGGAATTGGGGGTGGGATGCAGAGGGATGGGGGTGGGTGGAAGGTGCACGTGCTTTCCCCAGCACCAACAACTTTGCACAGCAGCTGCTTTGGGGGGCACAGGGCGGGCAGACCCAGCGGCACCTCCGACCCGTGCAGGGTTCCCTTGGCATTCCCAGCTGGAGCTGCTGTGGGGTCTGGTGGCCCCTCCAGAGGAGGAGAGCCCAGCAGGGTGGGGGTCATGCTGGGCCCATCTGTTTCCAGCTGCAGGAGGGGGCACGGAGCAGCTCGAGGCTGTGCTGCCTCTGACAGAGATTGACTTAAAAAGAGACAAAACCCCGTCCCAGCCCGACCAGCAGCCGGCCCTTTGCTGGCCTAAATCTAAACCATACTTCTTTTTTTTTTTCCCTAAGAGACTCCTTGAAGGGCTCTGGGATGCTGTGAGTAATATTTTCGGGGTGTTTACACTACAGCATGGTTTCTGTCTCCCAAAAAAAAAAAAAGACTCTGAGGGTGGTTTTTGTTGTTGTTGTTCTGCACTCATGAGTCACTTCCAGAGGGGAGCAGGAGCTGACGCCTGTTTTTTGAAAAGGCTCAGAGGTCTTGAGTGGCTCCTCGAGGCTGCATGTCCTGCCCACACCCTCCCCAGTGAGGCTCAGCACCCCGGGGGGCTCAGCACCCTCTGCCCCCACAGCCCCGCTATCCCAGCTGCTCCAACACCATCAAACTGGGACCAGTTCCTCAAAGCTGAGCATTATTATCCCAGAGGCAGGAGGGTGCCTCCATCAGCACGCACAGACTGGGCACACGGCCTCGGAGCTGCCTCTGTTGCTGCTGGCAAGCCTCACATCCCCACGCTGGGCAGGTGTCCCCGGCATGGCCACGCTCACCCCGCCCGTGGGCTCACCGTGGGCAGCGGGGCTGTGGCAGCAATCCTGCCACATCCCAACTCCCTCCTGGGCTGGCAGCCGGGCACCGAGCCACCCCCACGGCTCTGGAAAAGCAGGTTTTCCCTGTGGCCCTGGGAAGCAGCGAGGTGGAGAGGGGAAGATGGAGCCTTTTCTTTGGTGGAATTGCTCCAGGAGCAAGGGAGAGCTGCCCAGCCCTTTGGGACGTGCACAGGGGAGGTGACAACCCAGCGTCCTCAGGTCAAGGGCTCAGCCTTACCCCCAGCTAGGCAGGAACAGGGGTGCAGCAGCGCCGAGGGTGGGGTGGGGTGGGGAGCAGGGCTGTGGGACCCTGAGCCCCGCTCCAAGGCACTGGCACCCCCCTGGGGACACCCAAGGTGCTCAGTGCCACCACTCGCCCTGCCCCAACTCGCGGTGCCAGCAGCACATCTGGGATTTCAGGTAAATCTGGAGCCTCTGCTCTCCTCGAGGGCTCTGCAGGATGGGCTGGCCAAGCTGTTGCTCCCCAAACTCCTGAGGGGACCCCAGGAGTGGCTGCTCCTGCAGGGTGGCCGTGGGCTGGGGGCACTGCCCTGCAGCCAGCGCATTTTGCTCCCCGGCCGGTGCCAGGGGCACGCAGGGGACATCTCTGCTGCCCCAGGGTGAGGGTGTCGGGGCTGGCACGGCGAGCCAGAGCCGTGCCTGACTGACCTTCCTCCCTCCCACTCCTCCTCACCCTGCTGGGACAGACGATGAGTGAATCCAGCGCCAAATCCAGCCAGCCCCTGGCCTCCAAAGGGGAGAAAGACGTCTCGGAGAAGAGGGGCCGAGGGCGGCCTAGGAAGAAGCCGCAGGTACGTGGGGTCCCCTCGGAGAAAGGGGGGCCTTGAGCACCCCCAGGGTGTGGGGCAGCAGGAGATCCCCCCACACCTACACCCCAGGCTGGGGACACCCCCAGTGCAGCCCCGTTACCCCTTTGGGCAGCACCTCCCCAGGGCTCAGCAGCAGCAAAACCTTCCTGGGGGTGTCCAGAGCCCCCCCAGAGCTCCTGGCCCGGGCTGGGGGCTCTCCTGCCCCTCCCCAGGCCCTGCTGAACCTGCCTTTGCAGACAGGCTAATTAAAGCCCCATTAGCAAAAGCTGCTCAGAGAGATAAGATGCTGCTGAAGCCTTTATAGTACCAAACCCCCCCAGCCCCCCCCGAGGCAGGTGGGGTTTGTGCACATGGTTTTCCTGCAGAAAAGGTGATTTGTGGCTTCCCCAAGACGCTTCCTCAGCAGGGAGCGGGGTCTGGGCTGAGGGGACCATCCAGCTGGGCTGAGTGGGTGATGCTGGGGGTGGAAAAGGTCACGTTTGCCCAGCTGAAGGACACGCAGGAGCCTGTGCCTGGCGTCTGACCGCCAATCCCAGTGTGACCAGTGCTCCCAGTAGCACACGGAGCATCTCTGCCGGGGACAACGGGACTGCCAGGCTGCACTGCAAACCACTCTGGGCGTGCAAACCCCCCAAAATCTTCCTCCAGCAGGAGCCCAGCGAGGCCCCGACCCCCAAGAGACCCCGTGGACGGCCGAAGGGCAGCAAAAACAAGGCCACCACAAAGGGCAGGGTAGGTACCCGGGATGGGGCTGCTCCAGCTTCCACAGGCCCGGTTTGAGCTCAGTTATGGACAATTCGGGGCAGATCTGCCTCCGAGGTGGGGATGGGGGGAGGAATCTGGCCCAGGGAGGGTGGGGGGGCTGTGTGTCAGCACCAGGACACCACCCGAGATAAACCTGCTTGCAAAACAGGCGACTCACATCCTGCACCCACCTCGTGACTCACGGGGCATCCAGGGGGGCTGGGGGGCTCGGGGGGCTGGCAGCACCGCCCCGGGAGATGCCAGTGGGGTGATGAATCCGGCAGTCACGGTGGGAGGAAGGGGAACACCGCCCACCCCCGCCAGCATCCTGGGGACAGCCTGACCAAAATGCCTTTTTTGTTCTCCCGGCTCAGAAAGCTGCAGTCACGCCAGGGAGGAAACCTCGAGGGCGACCCAAAAAATCGGTAAGTGGGCTTTTCCTTTCCCCCCATCCACCCTGGCAGGGTGCTGGGCACTCTGGGGGCACAGCAGCTCCCCGGAGAGCCCCGTGAGGCTGTTGGGTGGAGGTGCTCAGAGCACTTGAGTGAGTAGAACATGCACAGGGTGGGCTCTGAAACCTCTGGAGGTGGGGTTTTGAGGAATCCTGCCCACCCCACATCCCCCTGGGCCCACGAGCAGCCTGGCTGGCTGGTCCTGCCCTGGGGACATGCTGACATTCCTTCCTCCCTTCCCTGAGCTTCCCCTCCTCCATTTCCCCCCTCTGTTGGCAGCTCAGGCGGGTGCCAGGTACCCCGGGCAGTCTCATCTCCCTTCCCTGCCTGTCCCGGATTTTGCTCCTTTTCCCACTGAAATTCCTGGCAGAGCCAAGGGCTTGGGGCCAGCCAGGGCTGCAAACCCCAGGTGCCATCCTGCCAGGGCTGTCACCATGCCAGGGGTGTCACTGTGCCGGGGGTGTCACCATGCCAGGAGTGCCACCGTGCCAGGGGTGTCACCATGTCGGGGGTGTCACCGCACCGGGGGCAGTTTGGGGACTCCAGGGCGGGCAGCTGGAGCTGGGGGTGTGTGTGAGGTGCCTGTCCCGTGCCAGCGGGGCCGTGCTGGGACACGATGTCCTGCGATGTCCCGCTCTGGCAGGCACGGTGGCGTTTTTGTGAGTGGCGCGGGAGGAAGCGGGGCCGGCGTGACTCGGCCTCGCTCAGCCCCGAGTCCCCACCACCCCCGGGGTCACGGCCACCCACCCCGGCCCCGGGGCTGCACGGGGACAGCCGGGGCTGGACACCGACAGCCACGGCTGCCACCCCCCCCACCCCGGTGGCCACTGGGGACCTGGCTCCAGAGGTGTTGGTGGGGCTGTGGTCTCCCCTCCTCACTTCCCCCCTGGGATTTCACCTCCAAGCTAGAGTCAGGGCCGCTCCTTGAAGCCAGGACGGGGCCGTGCCTCAGTTTCCCTCGCTGCACAAGGGGTGTGATGCGCCTGGCCAGCCCTTGGCGCGGGGGCAGCAGAGTGGGGCCGCTCTCCTTTCCACCCCCCCGGCCACGCTCCCTTGCCTTGCAGCAGCAGGACGAGGAGGAGGTGAACATTTCCCAGGAGTCATCCGAGGAGGAGCAGTGACACCTCCCGAACCCGGCGCTACCTCATCGCCCGACGGCCCCGCGGCGGCCGGGGGAGAGGGGTGGGGAGAGACCCACTGTGCCGCCCTGGCTTCCTCCTCCTCCTCCTCCCTCCTCCGCTCCCTCCTCACCCTCAGACAACGGCAGCACTGGAAAATGGCCCAACCCGGGCGGCCCCCGCAGCCCCCGCCCGGGGGGGCACTGCCCCAGCTCCCCCTCCCCAGCCCTGGGCTTTGGGCACCCCACTGGAAAGGGGGATCACGGCAGAGAGCCGGGCTGGCACCCCCACCTTCGCTGCCCCCCGTGCAGTGATCTCACCCCGCCAAAGTGGGGCTGGCTGCCCCCCCAGCACTGGGCTCGGCAGGGAAGAGACGGGGGGGCAGTGAAGGTGAGACCCCCCCCAAAATGCGTTAGACCTTTGCTCTGGCCTGCTGCTACCCTGGGCAGCCCCCTTCGTCCCCCCAGCCCTGGGTGACTGCACTGTGTGCGGGAGCAGCTCCCGCGGCGCTGCCGGGGCCCGGTGCCCATCCCGGGGGTGCCCACCCCCGGGGTGCCCGAGCACGGCTGGCCCCGGGCAGCCCTCTCCTCATAGGTTCTGGTATATATTTTTTTTTGTTTAGTACATTTTTTTTTTTCCTTTCATTCACAACTACCTCTGGATATTTAAGTTCCACTCTCTGAACTCACGGACGTGCTGCTGCGCTGCCAGGGCACCGTGGGCTCGGTGGTTCCTGTTTTCGGAGTGTTGCTGGGGGCTGTGGGGTATTTTTTTTTTTTCCCCTCCTTTTTTTTGGGCTTCATTTTTTTTTTTTTTTTTTTTTTTTTTTTTTTTTTTTTTTTTTTTTTTTTTTTTTTTTTTTTTGAGGTCTAGTTTGCTCTGCTGCTTCAAGGGATCGAGGCTGGCAGGGCAGAGGTGTGGAGGGACCATGGGATGCTCCCCCTTCCCCTCTGCCCCGGCACGACGGCTGCAGCGGGACCGGAGGTCGGTGCCGGGCGGCCCCGGCGGGAGAGAATAGGGGTTTGGTTTGGGTTTTTTTTTGGTTCACTGTTAACGACCTTTTGGGTTCCTATTTGCAGTTACTTGAATAAAACATTTTATGGATGTTTGTGACGCCTCTGTCCCGGGCCCCGGCTGGGTGGGGCAGGGCTGGCTCCTCCCGGGGCACCTCCACAGGGACATCCAGGCATCCACGGGGATGAGCTGCCGATGGAAACACGAACAGGCAAAGCCCTGCTGCCCCCCAAACTCCCACCCAAGGCCGGGAACCCCCAGCCTCACTCGGAGCCTCGGGGCCAAGGCAGAGACGCGTTTATTCACCCCATCTTCCCCCAGGCATCCCGTGCCAGCAGAGCCTGCTGCTCCCTGCCAGTCTGCCAGCCCCAGCGGGCCCTCCTGGGCTTTCCAAGGGGCTGCTGCAACAGTTCAAGAAAAAAAAAAAAAGGCAAAAAAGGCAAAACCAGGCACTGAGGTAGGAGATGTCCCATCCTGGTCAGTGCTCAGAGGTGGGGGCAGCAGCTGTGGCATCGTGGCACCACCGCGGGCACATCCTGCCCGTTCTGGCTGATGGAACCGGAGCTGCTGCCCCGTCCTCCCTCCCCTCCGGCGGGCAGGATCCCGTCCCGGTGCTCCGGGCAGAGTCAGGCCCTCCAGTCCCTGCGCGGGGGCCAAGGGGATGAGGAACCCCCCCAGCCAGGCACCACCTGCAACAAACACAAAGGAACACACCTACAGCCAGGGCGGGTGGGGAAGGCGCTGCCCACGCAGCCCAACCCTCCCAAAACCCTCTGGATTACATCCAAAGCCCAACTCCCACAAGGTCGGACTCTATGTTCTTGGAGGTTTTTCCCGACCTTAATGATTCCATGATTCCCAGAGCTCCCTAGGGACAGGCACCTCATTTGCTGCTTCAATTTTTCATGGGAAAAGCGGATAGAATTCCCAGCACAGCGACCCACCTGAGCCTCCTCAGCCTCCACCAGCAGCTCCTGCTCCGACTCGGGCGGTTCCTCAGCCGGGTCGTAGCTGTACATGGGCAGCAGCCGGTGCCGCAGCCGCTCGGACCTGCCGGGGGTCGCTGGTGAGTGCAGCCCCCGCCGGCCCCGCCGCCCCCCGCCCCGCGGCCGCGCTCACCTGCGCTTCTTCTTCACGTACATCACCTGCGGGGAAAGGCAAAGGCATCAGCGGCGGGGGCTCCGCGCCCCCCGGTGCCTCCCGGTGCCCCCCGGTGCTTCCCCCCGCCCACTCACCGCGGCCAGGAGGGCACCGAGGAGGGTGAGGAGGAGGAAGGGCCCGAGCACGGAGCCCACCAGCGAGTCCCCCGCCGCGCCCGGGGCCGTGGGCGCCGTGGCGTTGCTCATGGCCCAGCGCCGGCTCCTGCCCGCATCGGGGGGACGCGCCCGTCCGGCCCCACGGACGGGAGCTCTGCAAGCCACAGGCGGCCCCGGCAATGATCCCCTGCCCGGGAATGACCCCCACCCCGGGAATGACCCCCCCCCCCCACAACCCCGGGAAATCACCGCCAGGGAATGACCCCCACCCCGGGAATGATCCACCGCCCAGGAACGACCCCCCTCCCGGAAATTCAACGCCCGGGAATGACCCCCTCCCTCCCGGGAATTCACTGCCCAGGAATGACCCACCGCCCAGGAATGACGAGCGCTCAGGTAATAACCCACCTCCCGCCCGGTAATAACCAACTACCCGGTGCTGATCCGCCGCCCGGTATCACCCCGTGGCGGAGCGGGGGGGGGTCACCCCGCACCCCCTCCCTGCGGAGCTGAGGCTCGGGGGGCGATCCGCCTCCAGCAGCGGGACCCCCGCACTGGGCTGTGCCCGGGACACCCCCGGGCTCCCCGACCCCCACCCCAATTCCCCCCCTTTCCTCCCTGTCCGGTTCGGGATGTCCCGGGGGTCTCCCCCCCTTCCCCCCCCGCCCACTCCGGGGATCCCCGCGCGCGCGCCCCGCCCGGCCCCGCCCACCTGCGCGCGCCGCCCGCGCCCGGAACCCGCGCGGCGCGTGACGGGCGCGGGGCGGGGCCAATGGGTGGAGCCAATGGGCGTGAGCAGTGGGCGGGACAAATGGGTGTGGCCAATGGGCGTGAGCAGTGGGCGGGACAAATGGGTGTGGCCAATGGGCGGGGCTTGGGGCGGGGCGGTGGCGCCGCGCGGCCGGCAGGGGGCGGCAAAGACCGGGCGGGGGGGTGCGGGGGGAGAGGGAACCGGGCAGAGAAACGCCGGGAAAATGGAAAAATGGGAGAGCGAGGAGGGGAAAAACGGGGGAAAACATCGGGAGGAAGGGGGAAAAGGCCCCTGCGATGGGCACAAGGAAAGGCGAGCGGAGGGGTGGGCGGATGGATGGAGGGAAGCAAAAAAATGAAAAAAAAAGGCAAAATTAGGCACTGAGGTAGATGTCCCGTCCTGGGGGAATTGGACATCTTGCCAAGGTGAGTGTTCAGCTAGGGGTGCGGGTGAGAGGAGAGGGATGGATGGATGGATGGATGGATGGATGGATGGATGGATGGATGGATGATGGATGGATGGATGGATAATGGATGGATGGAAGGATGGATGACGGATGGATGGATGGAGGAATGGATGACGGATGGATGGATGGAGGGATGGATGACGGATGGATGGATGGATGGATGGATGGATGGATGGATGGACGGACGGATATGTGGGTGTGGTGGGACACAACCACCCACAGGGCTGGGGATGGCCGGGTTCCAGGGGTGCCAGGAGCACAGGCAGGGTCACCCACCCTGGGGACTGCTGTGGGTCCCTGGCTGGGGGCTCCTGCTGTGGCCGCTGTCCCCCAGGCTGGACCCGTGGGAGCTTTGGCAGGGGCTGTGACGGTGCCAGCAGTGTCACCCACGGTGGTGGCAGCGCCCCAGCCCTGATCCCAGCCGCAGGGCTAATCCGCTTTGCCCGCGGGGACCAGATGGTCCCGCTAAGTGGGTCAGGCAGGAGCGGGGGACACCGGGGAGCTCCGGCCCCGCTGTGCTCCCCGACAGCTGCAAAAAGCAATCATCGAGTGGGATGAGGTGGAAGAGGAGCCTGGACGTGGCGGGGCTGGGGGGACGCAGCCCCCGGGCTGGCAGCAGGGCAGGGCTCAGGCGCTGCGGAGCACCAGGAGCCTCCTGAGCTGGTAGGGAAGAGCAGCAGCTGGGCTGCAGCCTCTGGGATGGAGCTGCCCGTGGCACAGCCACTGTACCCTGCCTGCAGCGCTGCCTGCACCTCTGCCCTGCCTGCACCACTGCCCTGCCTGCAGCGCTGCCTGCAGCACTGCCCTGCCTGCAGCCCTGCCTGCACCTCTGCCCTGCCTGCACCTCTGCCCATACCAGTCCCCACACTGCTGCCCTCACCTCCTGCCCAGCCCATGCAGGGTTATTTTCCCCTCTCCACACCAGAAAAGGGCACCAGCTGTCCTAGAGTGCCCAACAGCCTTTGTTCCCGGTGTCCCGATGTCCCCAGGGGTCCCGCTGGCCCCACCAGCCCACGCTGACTCCTCTCCCCAGCAGTGGCACTGGTCTCCTTGTGTGTGTTGATGCCCCCCTGCCCCAGAGACCCTTCCCAAACCAGCCCCAGCCCCTGTTCAGCACTACAATGGGAGAACCACAGAGAGGGACAGGACCCCCAGTTCCCCCCAGCCCAGCGCTGACACCTCAGGAGCCTTCCACGCTGCTGCCCATCCCCTCCCAGCCCAACCCTGCTCTGCCAGGGCTAAAAATAAATCCATCCATTTCTAGGAAAGCTCCTTGGAGAGCATGAGCGAGTGGGAGCACATGGCCAGGAGGAGCATGCGTGGTCCTCGGGAGGAGACCGGGGGCCACCAGGCCCCTCCACAGGGCCAGAGCCAGCCCAGGACACCTGCAGCACCCCCAGATCACACGTGGACATTTATTTTTTTACCAATCCATTGTTTCCCAGAGCTCCCAGATGAGGGAAAAGGGGAGCCAAAGCCGGGGCAGCACAGGACCTGCTCATCCCTGGAGAAATCTCCCCCTTGCTAAGCTTGGGGTGGGGAAGGATGTCAGGGGGGCTGAGGCCATCACCACCCATCCTGGGGACAAAGCACCTTCGTCACTGGGGTTTACAGGGCGTCAGCCAGGGCGAGAAAGCTGCAATAGCAACACAGGGTATTTATTTCTTTTATCGCTGCCCCAAACCCCGCTGGGAGCCCCCTCCCCTGCGCTCCTCGGCCCCCAGCACATCACTGGGGACAGCTTTGCTGAGCCGCTAAGCTCCCGTTTAAGCAGCTGAGCACCAAGCGGCCGGATTTGCAGGCAGAGCATCCCTCCAGCTGCTCAGCCAGAGCATCCCTCCGGCTGCTCAGCCAGAGCATCCCTCCAGCTGCTCACCCAGAGCATCCCTCCGGCTGCTCACCCGCCCAGAAACGCCGGGCTGGGGCCGGGGCCGGTCCCGGCTCTGCCCGCTCGGGCATTAACGCCGCCGTCAGCACAGATTCATTCTGGGCGTGCTGCAGGAGCCCGGCCACATCCACATCCCAAAGGGAATGGGCAGAGGCTGGCTCAGGGATGGGTCTCCACACCAGGACGCGTTTGCTTCGCCTTTCCCTGGCCAGGCAGGCAGCCCCAGGGATGCCAGTGCTGTCGGTGCCTCTCCCACGGCTGTTCCATGGGGAAGGATTTTGGGAAAGAGGTGGGAGCACCTTCGGAGGCTCCTCGAGGCTCTCCCCTTAAAATGCCCGTTTTTATTGCAGGGTGTGTGCCCCATCAGCGAGCCCAGCTCAGCACCAGGCTGGTGGTGACATCCCTGCAGTTGGTGACATCCCTGCAGCTGGTGACATCTGCCAGGCTGTGACTGTCCCAAGCCACTGCAGGGAGATTTCTCCTTGGAAAACTCTCCCAGGACGGAGAGACCAGGCAGGAGGCAGAGCCGTGTGAAACCCTGGCGTGTTGATTGGTTGGCACTGGATTGCAGCCCACGCTCTCGGCAAACTGGCAGCCCCCGATTTTATTTTTTGCCATTTTTCGCTCTTTTAAAGACAGCGACGGGCTCCCTCTCACACTGAACAGAGGAAACCCCTCGTGCCAGGACCATCCAGCTTTACCTCATCAGACTCAGAATCAGGCAGGGATGTCCTGCACCTGCCAGCCAGGACCGAGCAGGAGCAAACACCTCCTGCAGGAGGGGCTGAGCACGAAGGGACCAGCTCAGACACAAAGCAGAGACAAACCCCACAGCTCTGGCCAGCCCTGGAGCTTATTTTGGGGAGGAATGGAGAAGCCTCAGGCAAACACACCTATGGACAGGAGGCTGGACGATGGACCCTGGTCCTTTCTCCCTCAGCTGGGGTCTGGGGTCCCGTTCTGCTGATTTGGGGGACTGCCAGGAGCCCCCCATGTACACAGAGCTCATGGAAGGACTGAGCAGCAAATGCAAAGTGATCATTCGAGATTTTCTGATTTAATAAATATAAAACAGGACACACAGGAAATCCAACAAACGCTCTCAGACCTCCCCAGGTTTCTGAGGCAATTCTAGAGCAAATTCATCAAATATAACATCAAAATTCCCACCTTCCCACTAAAAAAAAAAACAACAAAAAAACAAACCAAACCAACAAAAACCCCAACCTCTATGGACTAGCACCAAAGAGAGATTTATAAATCTCCTAAATACAACTTCAGTCCAGTTCAGTTTCTTTTTCACCAGCTACACCTCAGTTCTGTACAGACCCCTGACACAGCACTCCAGGATCTCCGCAGCCCAGAGCAGCTGGATTAGCTCATCCCAAGGTTAGGAAAATGAGGATCACACCCCAGCCACGAGGTCACCACGTCCCTGAAGGGCTGCAGCCACCAGATGATGCCATTACTGAGGAGAACAGAGCCAGGAGGGAAAACCCAGCCTGGCACCGGGTCAGGCAGAGGGAAAAGCTCCTCACACTGCAACAGGCACTGCTTGGGGCAGGTTTGGCTGAGGATGCAGCTCCATCCCCACCCCAGCACCAGCCACAGGCTCCACTTGGGAGGGTCAAACCCCAAACCAACCCCTCACCAAGCCCCAGTGCTCCCTGTATGCTCTGCACAGGGATGGATGCTGCATCTGGCTGTGTGAAAACACAAACATGTTAATTTGGGATAAAACAGAGAACGGGCAGGCAAACCTACAGCTCTGGTACAAGGGGTGCTTGCTGGACCTGTGCAGCCTCCAGGATTTTGATCCCTGCTCGCTGTGGAATGCTGAACACAGCTTCTGCATGGAAAAGCTGAGGCAAAGGCCCAAAGCCCCTGCTAGATCCGGGAACTGAGGATTCCTGACATTCCCTACCCACATTTTTAGCCACTGAATACTTTGTGGCCACACAAGGGAAAAGCCACACTTGCAGATTCCAACCCCTTTTCATTTTTCCCTTTACAGAGTTTGCTTGAAGGCACATTCCAGCTCAGGCTGAACGAGCTGCCTCAGTGCTCCACAGGAGAGCAGGGAAGAGCTCACAGCGTCCACCTACACTGGAACAGAACTGGTGGGAATCCTGATGCTGCTGCTCCTTCCAGCCCCAAACCCAGCTCCCACCTTCCCCCCAGCACCAGGGCAGACAGGTTTGGGTGCTGAGGGACCCTGATGTGCAGCCCTCAGGCTTTGCCCCCTTCCATCAGCTGCACCCTGCTCACACCCCAAACCAGCACTGAGGACCAGCCAGGCAGGGAGCAGATGGCTGCTGCTGGTGTCTGGGGACACTCGGCTGAGCCAGCTGAGCACTGCTCCCACGGGATGCTGAGACACAGAGTGACACCCCACACAAGGGGCAGCTGAGGTAAGAACCCACTTTCCAACGCTCCCAGCTCGGAACAGCACGGGTTTCAGCACAGCTGGAGCCCCAGGCTCATCCCTGGCACTCAGCACATCCGGGCTGTGGGAGCACAGCCACCCTCCCACAGCTCCCCCGGGCCCCACACAGACAGGGCAACGCTCAGTCCCACACCAATTAATTAACACCAGTTTAGACAAAACCACTCCAGCTGCTGGGGGTGCAGCAGCAGGAACCTCAGATGCTGAGGAAGATGGGAATCGTGTGGTGCAGGGAGAAATTTGGGGAGCACAGAGCTCAGGCCTGCTCGGAAATCTGCACCTCTTCCATCAAGTCTGTTCCTGCCCCAGGAGCCATTTCCAGTTACAAGGCAGAACATCAGCCACTCCGTGGTAACAGCATCAATCCATGCCACATTAAAACACTTTCTTGGCACAATTTATTTTTTCTGACCCAAACAAATAAGCCATTAGCAAGTCATTAACAATATTCTACCCTAAATTGTCAGTTTAACAGCCCTGTAAAAACATTTTTTAGTTTAGAAACAAAAGTGTGCATGCTGCTGATATTAAAACTGCAGTTACTCTTTCAGGAGTACCAGCTGTTTTGTTGCAAAGCATTTCCAACATACTAATCTGTACAGTAGAGACCAAGACTCGTTGAAGGCAGTAGATGGCTGTGTCAGGTGCCTCGCAGGGCACGGGGACAGCGACTCTGGGAATTTCTTGGACACTTCCAGATAGAATATTCAAGCCCTTTTGAGAGTTTGGTTCAGGCTGACCAGCACATAGTGAGAAAGGATTGTACATTCGTCTCTAAGTTGAAGTGAGCTGAACTGGTGTAATTTAGGCTCAATTCCAGACGCTTGGGTTTGAGCTACTCCTTGAATAATGGGCTGTTCCTTACGCGTGGTTTTCCATGTCAGCGATCACTGGCACTGCTTTTGGCCTGGCTACTCCACACCGATGAAAGCAGGGAGAACAAGGAAAGGAACAGAAGAGGATCTTAAAATGAACAGCTTCTTGCCAAACCAGCAAGGATACCATTCCCCCTTGTCCCAGGCTCCATGGATATTTCTATCGGATTTTTATATTGTAAGCGCTTCTCAGGAAGAGAGAAAACTCCAGAACAGTGAGTGTTTATTAGAATATTTTTTGTTAAATAAAGAGCAGGAAAAAAAAAAACTGAAAAAAAAAAAGTACTGCAGATTTAATTTCACATCTTGGCTCTGCTCTGACAAAGGAGAAGTTACTGAACTCAGCAACCGCTTCTTGTCCCAAGCCAGGGATTAATTAATGCCCCTCCCAAAACTTGTACCTGTCCCAACCCACCCCCCCACACACACAACCCCAACCCTTCCCATTTTATTTCCCAACTAGACAACACTGTTGGCAAATCAAGACAGCATGAAACTTACAGCAATAAAACAACAACCCCCCCCGAGTGAAGCGTGCCAACGCATCGGGGAGCTCTGCTGTGCTGCTCCCCAGGAATGCTGCCTGCGGGAGGCAGCTGTACCTTTCACGGAGGGCACACCTCAAGCACGCTCCACGGTGCCACCCTAAGTGCCGCAGAACCACAGGACAAGAGACCGAACACCTGAATTTTTGAATTATTTCCCCCCCACAGGGATTTCTCTTCGGGGTGGAGCGCGGTGAGGACGGTCCAGCACAAACCCCAAGTGTCCAGCTGGGCACGGCGTAAGGCATGTGGACAGAGAGGCAGGATGCAGCGGGAGCAGGCGCAGCGCTGCTGAGCCTCGCTGCAGCTGCAGTTTGTCCGTCCGACCCCCCCTGCACCCCCGGCTCCGCCGCAGCCGGCGCTGCTGGGGCTGTTTGGTTTTGGCCGGCGGCTCCAGACCAGCTCCGGGAGGTTTCCCGGGGATGGAAACGCAGAAAGGCTGGCGGGAGCTGTGGGAGAAGCAGCAGGGATGTCTGCAGGTGATCCGAGCTCTGCCCTCAACTTCAAGTGTCACTGCACTAAATCGGGAGATACTGGTTGGGGAGTAAACTGGCCCAGCCACCAGCACTGTCACAGAATGTGTGTTTTTAAAAAACGGAGCAAAAGGCAAACAGATTAATCGTGAACCCTTCTTTTCAGAAGCAGACCAGGATTAAAAAAAAAAAACAAAAAACTCCCGCAAAATTAAAATGTTAGATCCTCCATCTAAAAAAAAAAAAAGTTTATACAGATGTGCTGCGAGTAATCCCCACACGGGTCTGAGCAGCACCTTACAGTACAGACTAAGACTTGAAGAGCTGATCTCACATTGGAAGTCTTTTAATTAAAAAAAAAAAAAAACAAACAACCAAAAAAAAGTGGCTCTGGCTGGGGTGACACGAAGGGGACACTTGGAACACTTCAGAGCACAAGGCAGATGAGGGGCTGGCAGCCTCCAGGCCGTGGAGCGGAGTACCGGGAAAGGGGCACTTCATGCACAAAATGTATTTTAAAAAAAAAAAAAAAAAAAAAAAAAAAAAAAAAAAAAAAAAAAAAAAAAAAAAAAAAAAAAAAAAAAAGCAAAAAAAAAGCCAACAAGAACAAAAAAAAAAATTCATCCCACCTTGCACTAAATCGCAGCACTCTGAACACTTGCTCTGCCCCAGGCGGCTGCCCATGCCTGGTGTGAGGGAGGAGGCATGGAAACGGGGAGGGGAGGGAAATCCAGGTCTCAGTCTGCTTTTGGGAATTGCTCTCGCAGGGACGTCGTCAGTCATCTGATGTCGGACACGGAGCTCTCGGAGTACGGCGTGGTCATCACCGGGGTGCCGTTGTTGGCCAGGCAGCCTTGCCTCAAGGTCTCAAAATACGAGGCCTGCACTGGTTTATGATACTGCAGAACTTTTATGGCATCCTCTATCTTAAACCATTCCCTTTTCCTTCCTGGGGGCAAAGAGAGAAATCAGTAGGTGCAACAGAACGATGTTCTCTGATCTCAAGGGTCTCCCCCTCCAACCTCACACTGACAACTCCCCATCCCCAGGGACAGTTGTTTGTTTAGGGCACTACATCCCCTGTCTTGAATTTCTTAATAAAAAAACATTATTTTGCTATTTCTGCAGTTTCTGTTTAAAGCCAGATGCTCATTTTACAACAACTCACAACACACACACCAAGCACCACCCGATTTCCACCAGTTTGCAAGTGGACTTCAGGTTCCTGTGGACAGCTCTCAGTTCTTACTCTTTCCATAAAGAGCCTGAGGGGAGTCATGTTCCATTTGCTGCAGTGCAGTCACAAACCCTGTGGCAACAACGGGTTCATTTCCACTTGGGAATCCAATTTAAACACAAAGGTTTCAAAGGTAACAGGGAATGATTAACCCACACTGCTCACATGTATTTCCTCTAGTCTCAGACAGGACAGTTCATCTTTGCTTGGAACCATCCAGTGCAAGAACTAAACACAAAATTGCTGTGCAGGCAGCTGGACACTCACTTGGCTTTTCCTGGGTCACAGAGATGACAAATCATCGATTTCACCACAATTTTTTTTCCCAAGCAACCAAAGGACACGCCACTGCAACTTTTCCCAACAACACTCACACAGACTCCGGGTCGCAGAGGGATGCTGAGCTGACCTGTGGTTTGTTTCCATCAGCTAAGGCAGCATGCACCAAGCTTACCAATATTGACAGAGTCCTCCCAGTCCTCCAACACTTCGGTGACGATGAGTACGTAAACATAAGTCCTGTGCTTCCTGTCCCGGTTCTGGAAGGCAAAGGGGACAGGGTAAGGAGCAACCAACAGCAACACCAAACCTTGTTAGGCAAGAGGGCACTGGGTACTGCAAGATGCAAACTGCCCACCTCGGGAGCAGCTCCTCCCACAGCACAGTTCATTCTTAACTAAAAACTGTTGTGTTTTAAATCAGAGAGGTCCGGGAGTGTTGATAGGGATACCCAAAAGTGTAGTTCCTGATCTGTGGAGCAGGGCTTTGTGGACTGATGTGCTTACAAATTAGTTCTTCAGCTGGGAAGGTTCTGACCTATTTCCCATGAGTTTGAAGGAGTCAGTGCCAGAACAGCAGCAAGAAGAGCCGTGTCTGGTACCTGCTGACTGTGCCAGGTGTGGCTGTGAGTGCTACAAATGAAGGAGGACCCTACTCCCCCACTTTTGGCAGCACCAAGAATATTCAGCCACGCCAGTTATCACCAGTGATTTCACTGAAGTGCCCACTGCACAGATCAGAATTGCTGAGCAGGTGTGTTTTTATTGATTTAATAGTGACTTTGACGTTTGCACCAAACCAGCACCAGCTCACCCCACAACCCTGCAGAGCCATTGTTACTCCAAGATGATTTTTTACAACAAAATTTCACAGCACCCACATCTGAAACTTACCTCAAAAATTCCCACTAATCTTCCTAACGTCCCTTTCACTCCAGCCTAGGGAAGTTCAAAGAGAAAAGAAACATGCTTTAACAACAGCTCAGTACGTGTTTCCTACTTGTTGTGCAGGACCAGTTCCTTTAGGACAGGAAGCAAACGTTCCAAAATTCTTCTTGTCTTAAACCAACACAGTCACAAGGCAAAAACCAGAAATGTATCCCAAGTGCTCAACATCCAAGCATTCCCAGGGTTTTTTTCTTGTTTTCCTACATTCAAACAATTTTGAATTCAATCTGGAGGAAGAAGAAATATTTGAGGAGTTACTCTTTGCATACCAATACAGTCCTCGTGACCAGAATCTCCTCTGCAGGTTATTACAGCCTGAGCAAGAGGAACACTGGCTTTGGGGTTTGGCAATTTTACCCCTTCAAAATCAGAGTTTAAGGAAATAAAATACGTGTAAGACATCTCACTTACACCCCAAGAGTGATGTGCCAGCTCCCAGGTATTTCAGGGGTGTCCTGCACACACCTGAAACAAGCCAATATAAACACAAAATGCCATGACATGGCCCTGGCAGCAGGAACTAGAGAGGTTTGGATATAACACAAAGGGCAGATGCACACTGAAATAAAGCTCTTGAATCAAGCCAAGGCACAAATCAGGAGATCTAAGCAACACTTCTGCCTGTTTGAATGCTACTGAGGATGTACCACTCCATCACTTTGGTGTCCCTTTTGGCACCTCTCTGCTGGCTCCCTCCCCACCCTCCTCAGCTCTCAATCCCAGCCCACTCTCCTGCCCTTGTTTTATACTCCCTCTGTTTTATGACTGTAAATGGTTGGAACTCAAGTGCTACAGACAAGATGAGATCTTGCTCCATGATTTAACAGGTCTGAACCAACCCACACAGCCTGGCACACGACCCAGCCACAACAGGGAGGTAGAGTCGGCTCCATCTCCAGCAGCTGGAACACATCCCATCAACAGCCCAGGGAAATTGTGCCTCTTGCAGATGAGATACAGAGATCTGATAATGCCAGGCTTCTCTTTTTTTAAAAAAAAAAGATGTTTAAGTCACATTAATGATAAGACAAATTCTCTGTCCTACTGACCAGCTGCCACACAGTCTCGTGCTGTCAGAAAGGAAGAACTTTCTTTAATGAGACCATTTTCCTGGTTAAGTTCCAGCCTACTGCACAAAAAGGTACCAGAGAATCCAACCAGAGAATCCCTCACTCCAACAGCTGCTGATGTGGAACTGCCCCAGGAGCAAAGAGTTTGGAGCTTCCTCACTACCAGCAGTCAGAGAAATCTATAAATCTGTTGGAATCTGAGGTATTGATGATTTTGAGATTGTAAAAAGTCTCTGTGTTTTTGCCCCGTTGCCAAAGCAGAAGCCATAATTGGTCTGTGCTGGTTTCCAGGTTGTTTATTCTGTTGATCTCTCACATGTTCTGCTGCCCTGCCCAGCTCTGTCCTGCAGGGCAGCGTGTGGGGCTCTGCCCTCAGTGGGATGTGACAAACATTAAATACCAGAAACTCCCTGGGCTGGATTTACAAT